TCTTCCTCCCAGGCATCCTGAGGGAACTAGAAAAGAGGATGTAGGGGAACAAAGCAGCTGTAATAGGGGTCTAAGCAGAGGATCACAGCTTCCTTCAGATGTCTTTGAGCCTTGCCAACTCCCCAAAGACCCTACAGATGACCCTAGAGACCCTATAGAGACAGGGTTGCTAGGCTACCAGTTGGGGAGCAAGGGTCAGGGGATGCCTATGGCTGCACCTACCAGCCTCAGGGACAATCATGTGTCTTGTCACAGCCCTGTAGCACCATCTAGCTGGCAGTAGCAGGTGAGGGCTAGCTCCAGGTTCCTGTCCTTCTTCCTGTCTTTAGTACCACTGGGCAGGGTGACAGGCCAGAGACTGTGGGTAGGGGGTGTCCCAGGGGAGTAGGATGTGGGAGGTAGAGACAACCCTTGGGTCTTCCTTTGCTCCCTCTGAACTTCCCTTTATCCCCCTTTCGTCCAGGAGCACCTCAGTGTGTTCCCTTGTCCACAGGTGTCTGCTGGCCCATGTGTACCTCTTCCATTCTTCTAGGGTCCCCTGCTGCCCTCACAGGACTGCCTTGCTCTGGCAGCTCCTGTCCCTTCCTGTCCCCTACAGATCACTAGAGCCATGTGGAACACCTGGCCCTGGAGGCCGGGGTCCTGGTAATGCTGGGGCTGATCATGGCTGGGCAGGGTTATGGGGCCTTTGGGGTCTGGGGGCCAGGTGAGCCCCATGGTAGGGGGTGTCTGTCTCCTTCCCTCCCAGCAGGGCCAAGTACTTCTGCCCAGGAGAGGCAGCAGGGATGAATAACCAGTCTCCTGCCACACAGGCTTCCATTGCTCACATTTGTTTATTATTTTAAAACACTGATGAAACACATCACACCATGATCCTATATATATAAATTTATCTTTATACAGCTATAAATTTATATATATAGGACCTTTAAGCCTCTGTATACTCAGGACACAAAGTTCCAGAATAGTTTCACTGGCTACAACAAAATAATTTCTGTCATGAAAACACAAAGAGGAGGTGCAAATATAAAAAACATGGGTGAAAAAAAGAAATTAAAAATGAGTGCAAACTGGAAGAAAGTGCAAAAAATCTTTTGTTCTCATAATCACGCTCCTTCCAAAATACACCTTTTCTCCCCTTCCTCCAAGGACAAGTGAGCCTCAGGCCCCAGAGGAAATGGGTGGCTAAGAGGAGAGGAACAAGGCTGCAGCATCAGCCTTGCTGCTCTCCTGGAAAGGGAAACCTTGGCCTCACACTATCACGATGCTGGCAATTTCCATGGGGAGGGACAAACACCGTTTTGAGTCTCCAACTGCTCCCATTCAAGCAGAGCCACTTACAGACCAGCCAACCCAGAAGACACCTCATGCCCAAGACTGGAGAAGGTGTTGGGACACCTCCCATGGCTCCAGCTCAGCCCTGACAACATCACCTGCAGCAGCAGGGGTAGGAATGACAGGAGCATAGGCTTGGGGGCCCCCACTCAAAACAACATTGACCTTGAAAAATCCTTGATTGACTTTGAAATTCTGCATTGGTCACATCTCTCAGAAAGACCCCAGAGAGGAACTTGTGGGCCAAACTCAGAGCCATTGTCCTCTCCCGCCTCTTAGTGACATGGCAGTGGACATCCCTGTGAGGAGTTTGATAGGGCAGCAGAAGGATGAAAAACTTCAGTGCTTCTGCCTTAGTCACAGCTGCCCTTGATGTTCTCCCAGTCAATGCTCTATGGAGACGGAGGATTCATCTTCAGGAATGCAGCAAATCTTCCTTCTCCTGGATTCTCTACTGGTACCAGAGACAACTTCTGCCCATGAAGGACAGGAGGACACATCGCCCAAGATCTTGCGATTAGATCCTTCTGCCTCCACAGCTACAGAGACCACCACATTAAAACAAGGACACACCAACAGGGTGTTGGGGAAATGGTGTTGTGATACTTGCAAGAACACCCATCAACATGTACACACACAATGCTTTGAGTCTAGTTTGGTTTGAAGGAAACAAGAAGGGTATAAGTTTTAACAGTTAATAGCCCTTGACCACCTACAAACCACAACCACAACAAACTCTCTCACCCAAATGAATCCTGAAGCTTTGTGCCCAAATGGCCAAGTCGACCCAAGAGACTGATGAACTCGAGACGGCAGTTAACTGTGTGTGACAGAGACCCTCACATCAGCCCTACAGTAGGACTAGTTTTCCTGGCTCCCTGAGTAGAGCTCAGATGCAGCAGAGACCTGGGGTCCAGCTGTGCAGCCAGACTCCACAGCCAAGGGGGAGCACCTCAGCAGTCCTGTTCAGTCTGCTCTCCTAGAGAGATCTCAAAAGAGCCCAGGTGAGGCAGTACCCCCTAAGCACAGCTTCCTGTTGATGTCCATGGCTATCACAGTCTGCAGCATGCACCTCTGCCTTTTCTTGCTGGTGCCTAGGCAGAGCACAGCTTGATTGCACCCAACAGCAGTGCAAGAGCTGATGGTGTTGGTTGTACCCAGTCACGTAATGGCTTGGCTCATGCCTCCTCTTCCCCTTCAGGAGGGATCTTCTAGGCTCACCACCACTTCTGCTCTCCAGGATAACTCTGAGAGACAAGGCTCTCCACACTAATATGAGATCTGACACCTGGGTAGCAGCTCCTTTCCCAACACCCAGGGCCAGTGCTTAGTCCCTTCCCCAACAGGAGGAATGACTAAGCATGACAGAACTGAGCAGATGAAAATAGGATGGTTTCATAAGATGTCTCCTTATAAGCCAAATAACTATGTCCTGCACAAGGGTGCTGTTTTGTCCCAGAACACACCTGGAGAGAGAGCTCCATCTGCATACAGTCTCACAGCTGGAGCCCCCAGAGCTCCTCTTCTTCCCAAACTGAACAGATCAACTTCAGGACCATTTACTGTGGATCAAAGGTGACCTGGGGACTGACTGTAGGACCCAGGGACACAGCTGTTCCTTCCCACCACCCCTGTCTCCACAGCTGACCACATTGCACTGCTTTAAGAAATTGAAAATATTAAAAGAGGAAAAGAGAGGGAAAGCTGCCTGAATCAAACCCAAGCATTGACAAAACAAATACACTGACTAGTTCCAAGTCCTGCATGAAAAGCAAGCAGCAGATGTTCCAAGAGCAGGTAAATTGTGACTATAAATACTCAGTAACAAAAAGTAAAAATGCTACATTTCCATGAACAGATTGACCCGGTGTGACAGTGGCTCCCCAGGCAGCGCTGCTCTAAGATGGTGCACTTGCTAAGATCCATTCATTCCTGTCTTTGGGCACTGGGAAGGGTGGAAAATTTGTTTTGTTACTGATATGTCATTCTTAGGAATGGGAAAGGAAGGGGACATAGTACTTGGATCACATCACTGCAGACTATGGAGAGCCCTTGGGGCAGGTGGCAGCCCTCCACCATTGTGCTGTCACACCAGTGGTCCAACAGCACTCACAGCAGGCATACACAGAAGGATGACAGACCACAAAAGGTGTTGCCAGGGGACACAGGGACTACCTGAAGCTGCCTGGGACTCTGCCAGGAGCCCGTGGCATGTTGGCTTTCCTGGCTCTGGAGTCCTAGTCTACTGGGCCCCTCCTCCCTTACAAGGGACAGTGTTACACAGGCATTCCCAAAGTGCCTGTACCCTTCTTGAAAATGTGCTACACTATGAAAAAGACAGAAAAAAAACCCCATTAGCTGCCAGGTTTCTTTTAGATCTGCAGGTAGGGAATCCAGGGACAGCAGAAGATCATGCTCTTCAGAAAGAAAAACCTGGGGGCTTTGTAAGGGCAAAAAATGGGGAGAAGGCAGCTTGGCAAGATTGAGCCAGCCAACTCA